ACCCATTTGCATTGGAGAATACAGGCTACGAGATCATCTATCTGGTCGTCGACGCAGTCTTGTATTACGCTATCGCTGTTGGTATCGACTACGCCATGACGTTCCCTAAGATCAAGTCGGCTATGGCGAAAGACCCCGAGATTCCAGTGGAACACCGAGAGATCGACGACGATGTCCGAGATGAAGTCGACCGCGTCTTGATGGGAGGAGCTGATAGCGATACCATCAAGTTGCAGAACCTCCGTAAGGTCTATCGAAGAGGAGTCACAGTGGCAGTACAGGGGTTGTCATTCGGTCTCAAACAGGGCGAGTGCTTCGGCTTCTTGGGCATTAATGGCGCGGGCAAGACAACTACGATGAAGATGCTCACGGGTGACATCGTGCCCACGTCTGGCAACGCCACATTGAGTGGCTACGACATCTTGACGCAACAAGTGCAAGTGCGACGCCAGATCGGCTACTGCCCGCAGAACGACGCACTCATCGACTTGCTGACTGTACGAGAACATCTCGAGTTGTTCGCGAAGATCAAAGGTGTCCCCAACTCCGACTTGGACCTGGTAGTGCGTGAGAAGATGGAACAACTGAACTTGACGGCGTTCGAAGACAAACTGGCTGGTAGTCTGAGTGGCGGCAACAAGCGCAAGTTGTCTGTGGCTATCGCGATGATCGGGTCGCCCCGGATTTTGTTCCTGGACGAGCCATCCACAGGTATGATGGACCCGGTTTCGAGACGATTTATGTGGGACGTAATCTCGGAGATCTCGACGTACAATAAGGAGTCGACGGTGGTGCTGACCACACATAGTATGGAGGAGTGTGAGGCGCTGTGCACTCGTGTCGGCATTATGGTGGGTGGGGAGCTCAAGTGTACAGCACTTGAAGAACCGGTTTGGTGACGGACTCATGTTTGACGCCAAGCTACAGACGCCCACTGCAGAATCCGTGACTGAACTGGTGCTGCGTCACTGTGACGCGGTGGACTCTCGTATCGAAGAAGGAGAACTAGCAGAGACTTGTCGCTTGTTTGGCAACGCGACGTGGACGCAGAAGGTCGTCAACACTCATCCGACAGGACACACGATCGCTAACCTGATCAAGCGTGATGGATACGTCTTGGCGAATAGCTTCGCGGCGTGGTGGATCACGGAGACGCGGTTCGAGAATGTGTTGGCGTTCTTGCAAGAGAACTTCGGGTCGGTTGAGCTACTGGAGCGTCAGCACGACTCGTGCTGGTTCAAGATCCACGACCAATCCGCAGACGCTAATAGTCTACGACTGTCGAATGTGTTTGAACTGGTGGAGAACGCCAAGTCTCGCTTGTCTATCCGCGAGTACAGCGTCTCGCAGACCACATTGGAACAGATCTTCAACGCGTTCGCAAGTCAGCAGGACGTGGACGAACCGGTCCTCACCACGCCTACAAACAGCCCCAGCAACTCTGGAGACAGAAGACCTGGGTGGGTTTCACGTACCCTGCATCGTTAGCTATCTGGTATGATATTACAAGCTATAATATCACATAACATTTGTCTTTGGTCTCGGAATGACTTCTTTTGGTAACTTAGAAACGGTGGGGGGGGGGCATCCCCATGGTTTGGTCTTGTTACTTTTAGCGAGTTCACTGTTTTCGTGAAAAACACCAACGTAGATCTCACCCTTCACCTCATCAATTATCGTAACAAGTGCGAGAGTGGACATCTCTGCACGGATTTTTCCTGCGCTCGTAGCCTGGGGTGGGGGGTACGAGAACGCTCTCACTCGCTCCGACTTCCGCTCTGAGTTGTAGCACAGCACCAGCGATAATGACCCAGGCAAGCTTCATTGTTTTGGGTTTTTGCTTCGCTGTTCAGGAGCCAATTAGGCAATGAACAATAGGCAGAAATTCTGGCAGGATTTATCGAGCTGTCAGATCAACGTCATCATTGTTTGCATTGTTATATTCCACATGGTATCACCCGACTCGCTACACGTATTATAAGAATCATACGAACGAGCAGGAAAACGTTAGTTTCACTCTTTCACGGATATTTCATTAAAAAAAGAGTGCTTCGCGGAGTGATTGTTACTTCAAGTTTTTAATTTTACTAAAGTAAGAACCGATTTTCACATCAGAACCGCTATTAGAAAACTATTGCGGTCTTTATGCTCAATTATTATGCAAATAACTAATTGCTTTTAAATTTAAATGTAGTATTAATCATAAAAGCTAAGAATGTATCATCATACATAGGAATGATACATTTTTCTACTGGGCAGCGACTGGACAATAGTACTGCACACTGCAAGCAATGATGACGTGGCACTATGCATCGTTTTACAAAAAAATCGCTTTAATGAACTTTGTAATATTTACAATGGGGAACAAAAGGGCTAATATACCCCAAATTACTTGAGATATGTGCATTCATAATAACGCTTCTTTAATTACATTAATATCCGTTTATCTAGATACTGATAAATGAACTGACAATTGTCGACTACTACACTACCAGCCCGAAATCTTTAGTTTCTGAACTAACTCCAGCTTTGGGAAAAACAAATGTCAGAAAAAGGATAAACAATTCGATGGTCCAAAAATACTACTTCGTACAGTACTAGCAGTAGTTGTATTATTAATAATGGTTCCTGCCACCAGGGAAAAAAAACATTTACCTAGCTCTGATACGCTTAGTCAAGTGTTGTGACTTGAGCTCTCACTGCTTATATGCAAACCCTTGTAAATCTACTGTCTTTTGTTTTGCAACGTGAGCCACATCGACTCGCAAACTGCTCTACTCATCATCACTACCAATCTCGGAGCTGAGCCAGAAGACTTTCTTGTTTAGTTTCCTACCGGAGGTGGGCCACCTCCTAGGTTTAATGCCTGGCAAATGAAATCGCTATTTTATTTCCCAGCAGTCTGTCAGTGACAGAAACCAGTCCCTCAGTAGTACAGTACTACTACACCTTTGCCCGTCCAAACAGAGAATAATGTCAAGCAAAGTGGACAATATGTTTTTGATTATTACAAATATCTGATTACGGGATCAAAATTACCAGTGAATCAGAGAATAATCTCATTCAAACCGAGACGACACAGTGAGCTACTTCCCATAGACCATGTCTTTCATCTCCTCGGCCGCGTTCACCGCATCGCGAGCGTGAAGCTCCATCTTCGTCACTAACGTAGGTGTTATATACTTCATACTCGATTCTGCAGCCTTCTCTAAGAAGCGCATAGTGCGCCCCTTGATCGTTATTGGGGTGCCGTCTTCTTCCACCATGTTACTCCGGTCGCAGATCTCTTCGCGGTACAAGGCTAGGTATCCCTTGATTCGAGCTTTTAAAACGGAGAAGCAACCCTCAATCGGGTTGCACATCGGTGAGTAGGGTCCGAGTCGTAGGAGTACGAGGTCGTCACGTGCTTCGACACGTTCTTCGGTTTGGCGGTGAGCGGGGGCATTATCCAGGACAATAATGACCTTCTTCCCAGCGAAGCTGTCATGAAACACGGAGGATGCCTTAACCGTCAGGTAGATTTCCTCAATGAAAGCTGCATTCTGCTCCATTCGGATGCTTCCCCTCTCCAGACGGTGGAGAACCACACCCATGACCGAGCTTACAGCGCACCCGGACTTGCAAGTTTGCACCCTTGGACGGCGGCATCACGAGCGTTGCACGCTCACCTCTCCGTGCACGTCCTCGACCTCGCGTACAGTAAACGTTGTAGTTAGGCTCATCAAAATAGATTATACAGTCACCGTTCTTTTGATGGTCCTTCAGCGATTTTGCGAACTTCTGCCGCTTGGTCTTGTTGATCTCGTTGTTGCATGTCATGGGCTCTATGCGAGTTTGTTTGACGGTGAACAGCATGCCAAGCAAGTGGAGGCTGATCGTTGAAGTGGAGACCCGCACGTTCGTATCTAAAAAGAGCATCGTGCGCATAGCTTCCAGGGTGAAGGTGCAATTGTCGTCAAGATATTCCTCCAGCTTGGACTTTGCTTCTGGTGTCATCTTCACAGTTCTACCACGAGCTCCACCGCGCGGTAGGTCTTCTACGCGTCCTGTGGCTACAGTGCGGTATGCCACCGCACGCGATATGCCGTTATTGGCGGCCACCTGAAGCCAGTCAGCGCGTCCCGCGCGATGGGCAGCTAGGACACGGAGCTTCTCAGCGGGGGAGTGCTTGCGGAGGAGTGGTTGGAAGGGCATTCGTCTGAAGAGGTGAATTGAAAAGTGAACTGCTTCAGGCGATGGTTTGCTTCAGGCGAGGTTTTCGCGCGCATTTTGGCGCCAACGCACCCTCACCACCCCTTCACGAATGATTCCAGTCATCGCCTTTCCTTGTCTCGCTTTGGATGAGATCTTTCTCTGTTTGTTTGTTGATTACTTTTACTAAAGTTAAAATTTGTACTATAAAAACCAAATTGTCCACTTTGCTTGAAATTATTCTCTGTTTGGACGGACAAAGGTGTAGTACTGCAGTAGTACTACAGTAGTACTACTACTGAAGTACTGCGTAGTATTAAACATTACTAGTACAGTACTACGTACACGTACACTGTATACTTGTATACTCAAATAAGTACTAGTAGTATATTGCAGTGACCTTGTTAAAATCACATGAACTATAATAACTTCCATTGAAAATCTATCCGTCATTTTTTTAGATTGTATCCAAAAATACTGCAAAACTTGGATTGAACATTTATCCCATTATGATACAGCTAACAGAGGGATATAAACCCTTTTTACAAGGCCATCTCCTGACCGATGCTTTACGTTTCTCGTCTCCGTCACTGTCTGTATCACTTCAGCGAAATCACAACAGACATAACATTAGGCGCACTTATTTGCGGGCGCAGCCACTATCTGAGCTCTTGACGATGCCCGTCTTGGTGGCGGGAATCTCGTTCTGGGTGGCAGGGGTCTCGTTCTGCGTGGTCGGGGCCTCAGTAGTCTCCGTGGAAACATCGGACGAGGACTCAGCACCAATGGATCCAGTAGTCTTGGAAGCCTTGGACGCAGCATCGCCCGTGGCAGAAGTCGAAACGTCAGCCTCCACCGACACACCGTTGTAGGACACGATGTCCTGTTTGGCATTCATCTTGGGTTCACTGCCATCGTCGGACAGGGTCAAAAGACCATAATGGAACTCGTAGGTCGAGGGGAACTCGGTCACGACGTCGTGGGTGGCCTCAAGGGCGAGCTCCTTGTCGCCTTCACTGGTGTAGAACTCGAGGACAGAGCCGTTGCCCGACGTGGCAGCCGAAATACCGATGCCGAAGTTGTACCACGTACCCGGCACGAACTCAGTCTCCCACTTGGCGTCCCAAGTGCCGTTGTTCAGGTAGATAATCTTAGCGGGACTAGCCGAGGCATCCACACGGATCTCGAAGATGTGCGACTCCGG